CTTCCTCTTCGTTTCCTGTCTGAGCGCTGAGACCGTTTCCGGTGCACTGGGCTCCCTGCTCAGTGAATGTACATGGGACACTCAAGCAAATGGTCCAGCCCTCACTGCTCCTGTCCAGTCCACGTCCCAAATTTCCAGTTCAGCACAGGTCGCTGAACTCCCTTCTACAGCCTCACTCAACACAAGCTACCGGTGCTGCTTCTCCCCGCTCCTTCCCCTTCCCTCTTCTTTTTCTTCTTTCCTCTTCCTCCTCCTCCCTCTTCTCTTTCTAGCTTCTTCTCCTCCTACATTTCCTTCTGGGCTTTTGCTTATGTTTTGCCTCTTTGACTCAGTGTCTCCCTATGTTCTCAGCCTGTTTGAAATGAACTCACGCCTACAGGCTCTCTCCTGTCATGCCACTTGTATTTCCACCTGACTGCCCATCATCCTTGGTTATGGGCAGTCCCTCAAATCCCTCTTCATTTTCTTGGGATTGTGCCCTTACTCCTGAGTGACTGTCAGTGGCCAGGGCGTGCCTCTCCCACAGTGGGCTGCATCCGGAACCCCCACCGCGTTTAGCGCAGGGCTGTCGTGACCCCAGTCACGGGGGCGTGCTGGTTGAAGCACAGCTGTTTTACACAGATTTTGAAAGCTCTATCTACATGAGGCTAACTCAACCTGAAGTAGAGCAAGAATTCTGCCCTCAGTCTTGGAAAATTTTTTGAGATCTACATGACTGGTGTGGTAGATTGATTTCCATTTGTTACTTAAAGGACAATCAATGTTGGTGTTACCCCAGATCTGATGTTGGGTTCCAAAGTAGTTCTTGAAACAAAGAAACATGATGCACTATAACAGGGAACCCCAAACCCTGGGCCCCCGACTGGTACCAGTCTGTGGCCTGTTAGGAACTGGCCACACAGCAGGAGGTAAGCAGCCGCCAGGGATCAAAGCTTTGCTCGAATAACCACATGAGCTCCACCTCCTACCTTCCCCTATCCCTCCATCATCTGTAGAAAAATTGTCTTATCCACAAAGTGGTCCCTGGTGCCAAAAAGTTTGGGGAACACTGCTCTATAGGACCCGTTCTGCAGGTGGTCAGAGTGGAGACAAAAGAGAGTGAGGTGTCAAAGTGTGGGTCATGGTTCAAGGTGACAGTTCTATTTCTACCTTATAGGGTCATGTTTCTCTATTTTGGATCAGAAACTATAGATTGGCTTTCTTCACCTTTCATTTTTTAATATTTTTTGCTGAGTCTTACATGCTAAGTCTGCAAACACACTCTAGGTATTGGTTTTGGCAGGGGATGGAAAGAACATACAAAGAAAAAACCTCCGATGAATGGAGTATTCCTATAAATCTTTCTATTCTCAAGAATTGGCTTTACTGTACTTCTGCGGACTTTAATTAATGGGAGGGGGATTGGAAAACAGTCATCTCAGCATGATAGAAGAAAATGGGAAGTAGGAGAAAAACTGGGCTGTGCATTGGGAAATATGGATTCTAGTTCTAACTCAGCCGGGAATGGTTGTGACCTTGTTAATGACTCCATTTCTGCATTTCTGAGCCTCAGTTCTCTCCGCTGTTAATCAAGGGATGGGCAAGATAATAATCAAGTTTCATTCTTTGAAACACCACTGTATCTATGCTTCTAGAATTCTCTGCATTATTTACAGATTCCATAGCTATCTTCTCCTTTGATCCACACAATGAACCTTTAAGGAAGGTGTGACAAGGATTACTATTGCCCCCATTAGATAGATCAGCGCATTGAGGCTCAGGAATGGTAGGTGTTTACCCAAAATTTCATTAAAAATGAAATTCTTCTTCCTCATCCACAATAATTCCTTCTTAGCAGGAGGAGCATGTCTGTGTGTGAATGCTGGTATGTTGGTGAAAGTGGGCACCTGCCACTGTGCTTCTCTGACGTGTGACTATGAAGGGTACAGTTAGAAGGTAGATCTCCCTAGGTTTACAGTGCCGGTCTCTTCCTTGATGATTGCTTCTGTCTGACACATGTTCTATGTTATGGAATAATTTACACTAAATGCAATAACTAGACAATCATAAATAGTAATAGGAGGGCAAGAGTAAGTGGACAAGGAGAGATGGACAAGTAAAGGGTGAAGAACTAGGAGCTGAACAGCCAGGCCATTAATTCTATGTACTCTACAAGTATTAACTTACTTGCTCCTCATATTAATCCTATGAGGAACGTTGCTACAATCATGCCCATTTTACAAATATTGAAACCAAGACCTAGAGAGGTTAAATAAGTTGTCCATGCTAGTCAGTGGCAGAGCCTAAATGTCCGGCCAGGCAATCTGATTTCAGAGTGTGTACCCTGAGCGCTCTGTGGTCAAGGTCAGACTGGGTAGTCATAAACCTTCGTGAACTACTCTTTAAGTAAGATTAAACAAGCAAGCAAACAAACAAACAAAAACCATATCCACCCACAGCTAGTAAGGTTGCAGAGGAATTAGCACACTACATATTGCTGGTAGCACTGATGGTTTAATGTTTTTACAAAGCAATATGTGGCAAGAGCCATGAAGTTTTCCGTACCTGTCATTTTAGGAACAGCAATCCTAGAAGTTTATTTTCAACTTATAGTTTAACAAAAGCAACACGCCATAGACATAAAGAAGTTCATTGTACAATCTGCAATAATGGAAAACTGGGAGCAAATTAAGTGTCTAAGAATAGAGTATAATTAAATAATGCTACAGTATACTCACTTGTTGGAATACTATGAAAACATTTAAAATGAAAATTACAAAGATAATTATGTAGAAGAACAGGGAAATTCCTGGTAAAATTTTAAGTTTAAAAGGCAGCATAAAAAAATAAATAAAAGGCAGGATAAAAAATATGCAGATTATGACAATGAATCTCATATATGCATATTGGCAAAGCTTAAAATAGAACAGGAAAAAAATTCAAGTAGTCAGGTATTTGTTCAGTCTTTTCATTTTTATGATTTTTATTAGTGGTAGCATTGTGTTTATTTGACAGATAATGGAAAAAAGAAAGACTTGGTGGCCGAATTAGGGTGAAATGACCCTCTAGAGTGAGGCTTGGGACTGTCGGGAGGCCTGCCCTGGCTGCCGGCGTCACTGAGTTCTCTGGGGGCAGCTGGGCCTGCGTAGGGTGTGGAACAAGATGCATGCGTGTGGACAGAAAGAAGGATGCGTACTGGGATCCCCCCCACCTCCCCTCCACTGGGCGAGGCGCCCTCCTAGTTGTCTCCCCCCGCATGGCACCCTATGCTGTCGCCTGTCACCACACCTGGCAGGCATTACGGTGATTGCGTTTATATTTTAGAGGCGCCCTCTGGGCTGTAAGGGTTGGGGTCTCAGGAGGATCTGTATCACCATCCTACGCCCTGACACAAGCACACCATGTATTCCATGAACGGTCCTCCTTCTCCTTATCTCTAAAAGGAGGGGGAGGATGGGTTGAATCAGTAATTTTTTGATGGTAAAATAAAAATTCTGTGATTTTACCATTTAGGTGGTTTCTTTTTTTGTTTGTTTGTTTTTTTGTTTTTTTGTTTTGTTTTGTTTTGTTTTACCAGATTTGTTAAATAAAGCAGCCATTGGGTTTTGAAGACAAGTCTCAATGCAGGACATGGTCTCTGTCTTTCTGCCTGTGGATTCCCCCATCTCCCCAAGCATACCTTGGTGTGGCCTTGGTGTGGACTGCAAGCCTGATCTGAGGGTGACGCTGGGCATTTACAGAGCAGGTGGGCTGAGTGCATGGGACAGCCATAGAAGTCCACTTGACATCAGGGCTGCAAGGTGACACTCTGCTTGTGTCTTGCTTATACCTGGAAGGCCAGCCACAAGCCACACATGACGACATGATTTTGTGCCTCCACATGTGGATCTGAGGAGCCTCCTTACCCTGATGTCATATCTGTACCTGCCAGCTGTGGAAGTGGGCGTGTCTGTGCACATGGCTGGTCGTGTCTGTGTCAGAGTGGGGTAAATGTTGGCTGAATGACTCTGGGTTTTCTGGGTGAGCGTGCCTCTGTAAAGAATGTGTGCACATACCTCAGTGGATGAGTAGCTTTCAATTCAACAAATGAATATCGCCAGCTTTGTTGCTCTGCAAGAGCTACAAAGTGGTGCCACAGGCACAGAGCATACATATCTGCATTGTGTACATATCTGCATTGTGTGTTCCCCCTGTGTGTCTCTGGGAGTGTGTTCTTGGCAAGCATGCTTCCTGCGTTAACAAGGCTTTCGGTGTGAGCATGTCCGTGTGACAGTGCCTGGGTCCTGCGCGGCTGCTTGCTCGTTTTCCAGCTTCGCTTGAGCCCGCAATCAGGCTCAGCACGTGCGCCTGCCAGCCTCCACGCGCAGTCCCCAAGTGACCCATGTGCAGTGTGCAAGGACCTCAGGGCCGTGTGCATTTGGTGCGCTCATGCCTGTCTCTCCGCACGCACGAACGCACTTTCACATGCCTGGGTGCACGTCCCTCTCGGTGTGTGCCGGTTGCCTGTGCACGCCGCCCGATTCTGTGTGCAGGGCGCTTCGCGAGCGCGCTCTGGCCTGCGGGCAGCCAGGGATCGGCGCTGGGCTCCACGCTTCCCCCGGGGCTGACCCCCGCCCCACCCCCTCGCGCTGGGCCTCGGGCCACCGCGATTGGCCGCCTGCTCCCTCTCAGCCGTCACCCCTCCCTACCCCCAGCCACCCGCGCGCCCGCGGTCCCCGCTGTCCCCCGCGGTTCCGGCGAGGCCGCGCCGCGCTGCGCTCCGCTCCCATTGGCTGCACGCGCCTTTGTGTGGCGGCAGCTGCGGCCCCAGCGCCTTTGAATGTCGAGAGGGGCCGGGAAGGGAGCCTTTCCATGGGCCATCTGTCTCCCCGCCAGCCGCCGCCCCACCGCCGCCCGCGCCCCGCGCTCCGCCTCCCGCCCCGGCGGCTCCCGCAGCCCCGCCGCCGCCCGCGCCCGCGCCCCGGAGCCGCGCCACAAAGGGCCCGCGCGCAGCTGCTGCCGCCGCCGCGCGAGGAGCCAGGATGGTCCTGGTCCACGTCGGCTATCTCGTGCTTCCAGTGTTTGGCTCTGTGCGAAACAGAGGTATCGCTTTTTCCTTTTGGGGTCCGCTTCGGAGCGTGGATCGCCGTAGGCACCGGGGCGGGGGCGGGCACCGCGGGGGCGGGGGGCTCAGGGCACACCCGGGGGGACGCGGGGCGAGCGGTGCCTTCTCCCCTCTCCCTTTCGGGGGGACCCCCGAGTGTGGGGGCGGCCGCCCTCGTGGGAGCTTTTGTAGTGAAGTTAGGGTTTGGCGAATTTGGGTCCCTCCCTCCCCAGCCCCATTTTTTTAGTCTTTGCGGCGGACACAGTTCCCCCAAGTCACAGCCCCTTCCCCTAATTCCTAGCCCTGTGTGATCGTAAGACAGAGATACATGACTGTGTGTGTGCGCGCGCGTGTGCGTGTGTTTGTGTGTGTGGAAACATTTGGTTTTCTTTTTTTGAGGTACTTGCATGTTTTGTGTTATTTGCGTTTGTATTTCATTTTCTGGCCATTGATACTGATGGCTGGGTGGCTGGGATCTGGTATCTGCCCCATCCCAAGCCCCAGCCCCCACCCTCTCGTGGGAACTTGCACGATTTCCCGTCCCATCCTTTTCTCCCATTAACCCTTTCTGTGTCGCCCTTGTGCTATCTCTTTTACCCCCACCCCCCATTGTCTTTGTATGACAGTTGCATTCACCGGTTCAAAATGCTTGGGGGTGTGTGTGTATGAGTGTGTGTGCAAGAGTGTGCGCGCCTCGGAGAGTCAGACGAGCACTGTTGTGCACTCCTGGGCCCAGCTGGAGCCGGGTGCCCGGCCCTTGGGTGTTGCTGTGTGTGGGGGTGAGGTGGTAAGCTGCCCCACGCCAGGCCGCTGCCCGGGGCAGGCGTTGATCAGGCAGCAGGCCGGCGCCGGCTTTGTTTTTAACTGTGATATATGGGGTGTGTTTGCACGGTCCCCTTCCCCACATCCCTTCCCCTCACCTTCTGGTACAATAGCTTGATTTCCCCTCCCCCCCACCCATTTCTTCCATTTTCTTTTAATCAAAAATTCCCACCTCCCAAAGCAAATCCGAGATGCATTTAGATTCATTTTTTATTCTTTTTGTATTCTGCCTCTGGACTCACATTTCTCTTCTTGGAAATGTTTCTTCTATCCTCTCCCACTCCACATCTGCTTAAATCCCTGCTGGCTAAGGCCCTCCCCCACCCCCTCCCTCACGCACAGAATGATGTCTTCCCTTCGCGACCAGGGCTGCTCCACCGGACTGAGGGGGGGTGGGGTCGAGGGGCCAGCGCTTTAGTGCGCCCCAGGGGCCCGATTGGGCGAGAAAACGAAAGCCCAGCCCAGCCGTCCCCAGCCCCACGCCTCTCCCCAGAACCTAAAAGGCAAGGTTGACCCTCTTAGGCCTGTTTGAACCGCAGTTTTTTTTTGTGTGATGATAGAATGATGACATTCTGCATTTATCAAATCTTTTTTTTTCTTCATTGTGTAGCTCAGTGAATGGTCAACTCGCTGCTGTGTGCGCTGTGACCCTCTGCCTCCGCATTTAGCTGTATTGTGACACCCCTCTTAACCATCTCCTGTCTCCATCTGAGGAAAGCATTGCTATTTAAGCGGCAGTATCCCCTATCTCAGGCCAGCCTAGCGCCGGGGGGTGGCGGTGGAGGGGGTGTGTGAGGAACAGGGATGAGGGTTGGATGAAGTCTCCCTTGAAATGCCAACTCCCCCTTCCCCAAATCACAATGATTTCTTATTGCTTGGCATTTCCTCTGAAAATGGGTGTGCAACATTACACTAGGCAGAAATTCAAAAATGATTAAGAAGGATGTTGAGCCTGAAAGTATAATTATCCTGATTAAATCATTATCATCTTCATTAATACCACCGATCTCTAAATACCATTGCAGGATGTCGAGTCCATGTTTTGAAATTCAAATTGCTCAGCTGCTTTTAAATTTTAGCTTTAATACCCCCCATGCCCCCCCCCCCCCCCCCCCAAATCCAACGAGACAAATTCTGCCCTACAGTCAAAGTTTACTTTCATGGCAAACATGCTCACAGGAAATTCAAGGGCTGAGGGTGACTGGGCTGTGGGTAAAATATAGCACAATGTGATAAGAATTCATGACCTTCCGATAGAGGATACTAATGCTTAACCCGACAAGGTCCTAAACCACAATCTTCTTGTAAAACTATTAGATAGCCTGCGAGCTTAAATCTGTTCTTTTTAGTTTCCATTGTAGTAGTATAGGATATAGACCATTTCAGAATAGATGTAGAGAAATAACCATTTTTGTATCTTCATCTTGTTTAGCTGAGTACATTGCACTGTAAATCCCTGTTAAGTGGATTCCTTTTGCCTTGGCTTGGAGACCATAGCGCCCCATTTCCCACTTACCTGGGTGACCGTAAGCTGGTTTCTGGGAGGCAACCAGGTGTAAGTGAGCAGATCACATTTCGTTGGAGGCAAAAAATAATAAATAAAAATCTATGAAAATCGTTGATGCAATGACAGTTGCTGCTACCCCATAGCCTCTGAAAATTTGGTGCGGCAAGGTCCATGGCTTAAGGGGGAGCCATGGCTGGCGGTGTCTTAATTGTTTAATTGTACAATGTCAAGAGCATCTTTGGACGTCTGCCCTGGGCCTCAGAGTTGCCCCTGTAACAGCCGGCTCCCTTCTGCGGCCTCGCTGGCCAGAACTGCTTGAAATAAAACAGCAATAATAAAAGAGTAAGGCCCCTCCTTTGAGGGCCCTTCCAAAATGAAGTCCCAAGTGGCCTCCCCAGATTGCCATGTGGCAATCTGAAAGGAAAGAGGAAAAAAAAAAAAAAAAAAGAAAGAAAAGAAGAGAAAAAAAGAATCCCCAGCAAAATGGTTTTCCATTAAACAGGGATAGCGTGTTCTGCTGTGCTGAATTACTTCCTGTTCTTATTTTGTGGGTAATTTTTTCTGTATCAAATATCCTTTTGGTTGTGTATCTTTTTCACCTTTTCTTGTACTAAAACTAAAGCATGATCTGTATTTTTTTACATCCCCCAGTTGACAATGTACAGCGCTCGGTTAGAGATGTTACCCTGCTGAACCGTACTGTGGTCGTGTAGCCCGGGCCATCTGCTCATTGTACGCTGCTTTTGTTCTGTTGCCCTTCGAAGCATGGTGGGCCCAGCCTTTTTTTTCTTTCTTTCTTTTTTTTTTTTTTTTGTATTGTGTGCATGACAACATTGTTACACACAGAATCCACTAATACTAATATACAATCTCTCAATAAAGAACTAGTTTCCTATATTAACCTAGTGTGCTTTTTCTCTTGCTGTTTCCCCATTTATTGTTGTATCCTGCTGTTTAGATATCCCCTTGCTTTTCTATCCCCACCCTCACCCACCCACCACTCCCACCTCCCATTGTAAGATTCGAGTGAATGCCTTTTTTTTTTTTTTTACTTTTTTCTTTTGTTTTGTGGTACAGATATGGTGACCTTAATCTCATCCAGTCCAGACCTTTTTACAATAGACATTTGAGGTGAGGGGAGGTGTCCTTTCACACCAAAACAGCTCAGCTGTGTAGAGAAAACCCCTGTCTTTGGCCACCTGCGTAGCTAATAGCCTCCACATTTCATCTGGTTTCCAAGTTACATATCACTCAGGTTGTGATGCTGGTGAAGAGAAGGGGATATAACACTCAGGTTGAGAAAAGGGATACTGTTCTTAACTAGCAATCTTGTAGCATATCAGACTTGCCTGCAAAACTCATTTTTAGTTGTGTTTTAACTTTTCCTTTTACTGTCTCATTGATTTACTGTCCTTCTAAATCATGCTGGGGGGTGACATGTTACATCAGTTGAAGCCATGATCTGGAATTTTAAAGTACCCTCTTCTTTGTGCATAATTGCATTCTTGGGACTGGCAGTGGAAGGTTTGCAGTGAGATCCTGCATAAGGGAGATGTTTGAAACAGAAACCAATTCAGACCACCCCCGCATTCATCCCAATCCCAGGGCCAGCCGCCTGACCTGTTAGCGTAGGAATAAGAGGGTCTGTGCCCTCCCAGGCTGGGAGCCAGTTAAAGCTGATTACAGCTCAGTCCCTGACAGCTGCCTCATCTATGGCCCTAGTGCCTCTCTTGAGGAAGAAAGCCAGATCTCTTGGCATTGTCTAAGTGCTCTGCGTGTGCGCGTGCATGAGGGCGCGCTCGTGCGCTTTGGGGAAAAGGGTGGAAGATCAGGGGGGAAGTCAGGACCTACCCTCAAATTGAATTGGAAGACCAGTCCTTCAAATGTATCTTTTTTTCCCCAAAAATTACATTTGAGAAGTCAGTAGAGAAGAATTTTTTTTCCCCAGAGTGGAACCCAAATTCAAGCATTTGTCAATTACACTATTCAATTTCAGTCCAGAACAAGCCTTGCTAAATGAGGCATTTTAGAGGAGGAAATCAGCTGATTAAAGAAATTCAGGGTTCCTTCAAAGGGTCATCGTTTTGGAGCCACTTTTCCTTGGGTGACACACCTCCTCCTCTCTCCCCACTGCTGTCTCTGCCCCTCTGCCAGGGTTCTGTCCTGGGCCTGGGCACCACGGCCTGGCTACGGTGCTGCCTCGCCGCCTTTGTGGGTTGGTGCATCTCTCCTCTCCCCGGCCCCGTGGCTGCCCTCACTGCTCCAGCCCTTTGTTCTCATGCTCTCTCCAGCCCGGGTGGGAAGGCTGAGCTGATTTACTGTGACACATGGACACACATGGAAGTCCCCAGCGGAGCTCCTGCTGTAGTTGTACAAGAAGAGATATGCAGGTCTTCCAGGATTTTTCTTTCCTTTCTACTCCTCCTCCTCCTCTCATTTTGGTTCACATGAAACTTTTAATTTGTACCTGGTTTAAGAAATAAACCACCCCCAACCCAAACTCAACAATAATAAAACTACTCCACATCAGGTGATCACCCTCATTTTTTGTCCTAGGGAGCTGCGGCTTGCTCGATCAATATTAACCAACTCCACGATTTTATGTTTCTGAGTTAGCGTTCTGTATGTCAGGATTATTTGATCAATACATTTTGAGGATGGTTTAATAAC